CGGAACTTCCCAGCGGAGAGCTGTTTGTATGGGACTGAAATGAAAATGTGCCTTCAGAGCGCCAGGAAATCTGTAAATAAAACCTGGTTTTCTTCCTCTCTGTCTGCTCCAGTTTCCTGAAAACTTGTTTACATATTAAAGGGTGTTAAACTGTCTTCCTTTGTGGCAGGTTTTACTTAGAGCTGGGCTGAAGCAGTGGGAATGAAAGGCTCCCATCACTGCTCTGGATATTGGGCTGGCCTTGTGGCAGTCTCTGGGAATTGACTTGGCAGGGAAAAGAAACGATTCTTTTTATTTTCTGGCGTTGCCGTGAGGTCAGGGAGGGAAAGAAGGTGCAGGAGGAGCTTCCTGGGTAGGGGGACAGCCCCTAACCAGGGCACCTTCCTGCTGCCCTGTGCTTGGCACTGCTTCCTGCAGACAGAATTTGGGGATGTTGCTGGTGTTGGTGTAGCAGCGGTGTCTGGAGGAGCTTGTTTAAAAATGTTGCCCCATTGACCACAGGAAAAGAGGGGTGAGAGGAAGGACATCCCTGGAAGTGTTCAAGGTCCAGATTAGACAGGGCTTGGAGCAGCCTGGTCCAGTGGAATGTGTCCCTGCTCATGGCAGGGACTTTGGAACAGGATGCTCTTTAAGGTCCCTTCAAACCCAAGCCTTTCCTGATTCTGTGTCACAGTAAAACCAAGAAATTACATTAAATCTGAGACCCAGTTGTGTCTTCTGAGAAAACTCATGGTCAGGCAGGAGCTTGTGACTGAAACACGTTCAGGTGATGTTAGGAGTGGAAAGCAAAGCACAGATCCATCCCACTGTTCAATAAACACGTTTTTCCTGGGCTGGGATGCTGTGCTGGACTCACAGTGTGGGTGTTGGCTGTGCAGCACCCCTGGGCTCTGAGCCACCAGGGACCTTGGGATCAGGTGTGCTCTGCGTGCTGCTGTGAGTGATTTGTGCCATCAGCCTGCCTGCTGACAAATGGCAACTGTTGCTTAATTTTTATCCCCAATTATGTAGCTCCAGGACCCATTTTTCAGGTGGAATGTTGGAGCCATTAAGAAGAAATAAGTAAACCCTGCTGTATTCCATCATTTTTGGCAGGTACCCAGTGGTCTGTAGCCTTAATGTATGTGCATTTCTATGCAGTATTTTTCATAAGCTTGTGCTGGGTGTGTTTGGAGCTTTTCTTGCTGGGTGAATCCACAGCCTGGTGGATCCACACAGCCCCATTACATTGCTGTGATATCAGACAGAGCAAGGGGTGCAGAGTGTCCTCACCCCTGGGCTAAGGGACACAATTCCTGCACCCTGTGAATTCCTGCAGGATTTCTGGGCTGTGCTAAAGGGACACAATTCCTGCAGCCTGTGAACACTCAGGATTTCTGGGCTGTGCTAAAGGGACACAATTCCTGCAGCCTGTGAACACTCAGGATTTCTGATTTGACATTTGCAGAGGTGCTTTGAGGGAAGCTGGGTCACCTTGGGAGAGCTGACAGGGTCTGTGCTTGCCTCAGCTGCACTTGGAGTGACAGTGGAAGGTTTTGGTGAAGGAAGTTTTGTGGCTTTGCTGAGAATACGTCCCTGTGCTTTAAATGTGATTCTTTATGGCCTTGCTAAGTGGAGGGAGCAGCTTCCAGAGTTTCCCTGATTCTTTGGCAGATGGATGGGTGAATATTCACATAAAAGCCCCCGGACCTGAGAGGTGCTGCTGGGATGTGTGTCTGTCCTGGCTGCTTTTGATGAAACAAAGATGCACCAGTTCCTCTAGAGGAAAGGAGAGATCAGGATGTGTCCTGTTTTCAGAGGAGATTTATTTGACAAATTTATCAAATTTGACCTCTCAGAAAATGGCAGAAGAAGTTTATCAGAACACCTGCACGATTAACATCAGCTATAAACTCGTTTTTAGCATGGGCAGCAGAGGATCCAGACAGCCTCCCTGAGTCTTGTTTAGGGAGCAGAATACACCTCTGCAGTTAAAAAAATGCATCTAAAACCATCAAATGCTTCCTGGTATGAGCACCCAAGATCAGGAAGGGTGGCTGAAAGAGATTACCTTTATTTCTGAGATAGGATCTGAGCTATTAGATAATTTCTGATTTAGATTTGAAAGTCCTCCATTTGCAGTGACATTCCTGGCAGCTTTTCCAGGTGCTCATCAGTCCTGGCACTTCTGTGTTTGAGCTGTCACGTGTAAACCTTCCTTTCTGGCCAGGTGTGTGCAGTGCAGTTGCTCACTGGGTTTCAGCAGGTGTGTGCAGGTTGCTGGGGCCAGCCCAGAGCTCTCCTGCTCTGAGCCAGCACAGGAGCAGAATCCAGCAAACCCCGTTCAAGATAATGTGATTTGCTGCAAAAACTCTGTATTTTTAGGATGTTTACTGCAGAGGTCTTGAAATTACGTGGGCAATTTGTTGCCCTTGACAAGAGAAAATGTATCTCCGGTGAAATTTCATACTAAAAGCAATCTTTTAATGGAGCTTTTCCTTCCGAGGCGGGTGCTGTAATGGCACTGCCTGTGCTGTAAATCACAGAGCTGCTTGTGCTGGGACCACAGAGCTGGGCTGGTTTCTGTTCCCTGGGGCTCCAGCCCTGGTTCCTCATTTCCTGTGGTGTGGGACGGAACAGAACCCTCCTGGCGCCAGCCTGGGGCTCACAGCCTGACCCGGGGCTTGGGATCCTGCTCTGGGTCTGCACTGCCACACCCAGGGGGGCTGAGAGGGTCCTCTGACCCCAAACAGGACCCAGGGGGGCTGAGAGGGTCCTCTGACCCCAAACAGGACCCAGGGGGGCTGAGAGGGTCCTCTGACCCCAAACAGGACCCAAACAGGACCCAGGGGGGCTGAGAGGGTCCTCTGACCCCAAACAGGACCCAGAGGAGCTCTGTGGCTCCTCTCCTGCCCCAGTTCCTGGGTTTTCAGGGGCTCTGGGGGATGGGAGCTGTGCACCCCCAGCACACCTGGCTGTGCTGCCCTGCCCCATCCAGCCCCTTCCATCCCACTGGAGGCTCCCAGTGCATCCAGGGCTGTTCTGCCACGGGCCAGGTGTCAGAGCACAGAAATGTGCTTTCACATCCCAGGGACTTGCTGGGACAGCTCCTGTGCTCACACACTTTTGCTTGGCAATCCAAGGAATTAATGCTGGGTTTTGTTGACCCACCTGTTCGGGGGGAGGTTTTTAATTACCTTTTTGGTGGCTGGCCAGCAGGATAATGCCTGTACATGTTCCTTCTCCTCTGTTTGGTTCCCCCAGCTTGAACACAAAGCGAGCATTAAATTGCCTTTTCAGAAGTGTGGCAGCCTGTGGAAGGGGCGCCTGCTCTGCCCTATCCCGGTTGTGTCTCACACCCTGGGGTGCCAGGGAGTTGAATTTCGGGGGGGAAAAGCTCAGCAAAGGGCTCAGGAGGAGCTGGCAGCCTGCTCAGACAGCTCCCTGCTGGAGGGAGGCCTGGGGAGGGAAGGGAGGGAGGAAGGAAGCAGGAGCTGAACCCTGCTGATGGATTTTTCCATGCTCTCACCCCAGGTGCCCTTTTGTTTCCTCCTCAGTTGACTTTTTGGTGTCCACTGGCTTTCATAACCCGTCCTTTGCCCCTGGACTTGTCAGCAGCAGCAGCTCCATGTGTGGCTCCACTTCAGGGAGGGGGATGTGACGTCCTGGGGTCTCTGGGGATGGGGTGTGATGTCCAGGGGGCTCTGGGGATGGGATGTGATATCCTGGGGGCTCTGGGGATGGGATGTGATGTCCAGAGGGCTCTGGGGATGGGATGTGATGTCCTGGGGGCTCTGGGGATGGGATGTGATGTCCTGGGGGCTCTGGGGATGGGATGTGATATCCTGGGGGCTCTGGGGATGGGATGTGATGTCCAGGGGGAGCTGTGCAGGACTGAGCAGGGTTGGGCATTGCTGTGGACTTTCCTGCTTTACCTGCCAGCCCCTCCTGTCCTGTCTGCAAAAACTGAAGGTGAGTGGCTGTGACAAAAGGGACAAGCTCCACTGGAGCCCCAGCTGCTCTGTCAGTGCAGTTGCAGTGGTGCTGGTGCAAGCCCTGCAGCAGGGATGTGCTGGCTGGCTCCAGGGGCAGCTGAAGTCCCCTTTGCTGTGTCCCTGTTCCACGGACTCCCCTCCCCCGGCTCCTCCTGCCAGAGCCAGGCACCAGGCAGCCCTCGGCTGTTCTGGGGGGTCTCAGATTGCTGACAGGATGGTTCCTTAAAGGGCTGTCCCTGCCATGGGGTCCCAGGGGAGCTGGGCAGGTGTGGCAGCACACCTGGGCAGGTGAGGGGAGCAGAGCTGGGGCAGCCAGAGCTGCTGCCAGCACAGTCAGAGATTTCCTTGATGCAGAGAGAGGATAACTCTGACCTTCCTCCGAGGGCTGTTAAGGATTAATGTTTGCACAGGGCTTTGAGTATGTCAAGCTTTATGTAAATAGCAGTTATGACTCTTTTATTAATTCCCTCCCCCAGGTAAATAAGCTGTGCTGTGCTGTGTGCTGAGCCAGGGAAGGCAGCTGGGCTGGGGCAGACCCTGTCCCCTCCCAGGGCCACATCTGCAGCCCCTTCCCCTTGCTGTGCTGGGAGCCCAGCTGGGCAGAGGTGCTGGATTGCTGCCCTGCCCGGGTGAGTGACCCCATCCTGTCCTGGGAATTCCCTGGGAATGCAGCAGGGTCACCCCCATCAGCCCCTCAGGCCCTGCCACCTCCCCACAGCCAAGGCTTCTTCTGGGGCTTCACAGGAATGATGATGTCCCAGTGCCAGGTCTCGATGTCCTGCCACTTTGTGCTGCACGGTGTTCTTGTGCAGAAGATCTGCATTCATCCCTGTCGTTCTGGACTCCATGTTCCATGAGTTTATGGCTTGGTTTGCTCTTAATGGGAGATGCTTAAAGAGGAGGATTAGTCTCTGGGGTTTAGCTCCTCTGCCCTTGTGTTTGTAATCAGGCAAAAACATCATTAGGAGAGCTCTGTGTGGAAGGTTTGGGGTGTGAGACTGACTGAGGTGTTTTACTGCTCATTTCCAAAACTTAGTGTTGTGCCTAAAACCATGGAGGGTGGGAATTGGCTCTTTGCCAGTTAGTTACTTAAGTTTAAGAGATCTTTGCATTCAAATTACTTATCTGGAGTGCTGGCAGGCTAATAAATTCCAGGGACTGTTCTAAATATTGTCAATCTCCAATGTAATCCTATTAAAATAATTGAGTATTTTCAGGGTAAAGAATTCCCTCATCCTCTGTCCCCAACACACAGGAGAAAACATGAAAGGCAGCCTGGAGTGTCCTCTGCACATCATTGAGCTGACACAGCTGAGATTCCTGGAGCTGGGACATTCCCAGACCAGAGCACTCTGCCTCCCAGATTTGTGCCTTTCCTGTGCCTTTGGGGGCGTTTTGTCCTCGCTCCCTGCTTGGCTTGGCCTGGTGCACCTTGATTTCGGTGGGAGCTTGGTGTTATCCCCTGGGGTTTGTTGTGGGAATGCCAAACCTCTCTGGACCTGCTGTCCTGTGTCACTCCCGGGGCGTTCAGGGTGAGCTGGAAGCTGCTGAGCCCCTCTGAGCAGTTGCAGTGTGGAGCCGGTGCTGTGTCCCCACTGAGAGCTGGGGCACATCTCTGCAATCCTGCTCTTCAGCTGAGCTGGGACCCTCCGGGGGTGCTGCTGCCACAGCAGCCCCCAGGACATCAAACACAGCCCCTGTGCCTCTCTCAGAGGAGACAGTTTCTCCAGTTTGCCTTTTGATAATGTTCAAATGCAGGCCTGACCTGAATTTACAGCATGGAGGAAGAAAACGAGAGGAAAAATATCTCCCAACAGCTTTTAAGGTGTCTTTGACAGCAGTAAACTAAAGAAAATAAGCACAAGTTCTTCCCTTCCCCTTTGCTTTTGTAGGTCACTTCAGGGGAAATCTGAGCAAATCAGAGAACTTCAAAAACAACCCTGAGCCCAATCTCTTCCAGCAGCACCCAAACCCCCCCGGCACCCAGCCCACAAACCTCACATTCTCCTTGGCAGCCTCGTGTGAAAACCAGCTTGGAATAACTCGCCACAAAGAGGACACCAAGTTCCTTTGGTTTGGCAAAGTAAACAGGTTTATTTTTGTTTGCAGCAGGTTTTGCAGTGCAGCACCCTGGCGAAGCTGGCTCGCAGCTTTCCCTTGCCTGCATTCAGCCTTGGGGCCAGCAGGTTGGAGGTGGCTCGGCAAGGGAGGGTGCAGGGCTGCCCTGAGGTGCCACATGGTTCGTGTTCCCGTGCTCTGTCCCTCCGTGTCACCCTGGGGTGGGTTCCCTTGGCCCCGCTGGTTCCTGTGGTGCTGCTGTGGGCGAGGCAGGGGCAGCAGTGATCCCATAACTCACGGGGAGTGATTTACTGAACTCGTCCTTGGGGTGATTTAGGGGCTGCTGGTGGCTGCAGAGCCCTGGGAGCAGCACTGGGGCTGGCTGGCAGAGCTGTGGGGAGGGATGAGCCATCACTGCTGAAATATCATCTCCAGGGGATGAGCAAAGGCTCTGCTGCAGTCAGGGTGTCAGGATAACACCCCAGAGCTCTCACAGCACGATGTGGCTCCAGAGATTTTCTCCTCGTTGGTTTTAAAAGCAGCCCAGTGGACACGGCTGATAAATGATGCTTCGTGGCTGCTTTCGGGTGTGCAGTGATTTTGGCTGGGGTGGTTTAAGTGCTTGAATCACGGGTTTGGTTCGGTGTGCTGAGCCTGGCCAGGCTGGGTCCGTGTGGCTCAGAGAACAGGGCAGTCCCTGCTGCAGCATCCCCAGAGCAGCGTTTGCTTTGCTGTGGCTGTCAGGGAGCTGCAGGGTGCTGGGGGCAGCTCCAAGGGGCTCCCACTGCTGGGGGTGCTGCCTTTGCAGGGAGGGTTTGCCTTGGCCTTTGGGGCAGCACAAACACCCAAAGAGGAACAGCACAAACCCAGGAGCAGCACAGACACCCAAGGAATATCACAAACACCCAAAGAGGAGCACAAACACCCAGGGAACAGCACAGACACCCAAGGCTCTCTCCCAAAGCCCCTGGGGCTGTGGGTGCTCTGTCTCAGCCTTCTCATCTCCTTTGCTCAGCTTCCCACATCTTTTGCCCTTACCAAGCGAGATGGAGTTTTTTATTGTCTGATCACCGAAGCTGCCGAGTCAGGACTTGTGTCCAGGGTGATCGTTGTCAGTGCCAAGAAACAGAACTGAGCAAAATTAAACCCAGACCTGATTAGTGACCTACTTACAGGATGGAGAAGGTGCTGGGATTCTGGCTGAAGCAAATTCAAATTCCCTGTTTCATTGTATTTCCTTGATTAATAATAAGTGAGTGAAATATCAGTCAAGATTTTTTTTTTAAAGCAAGGAAGCAGCTTTAAAACATTACATTTATTTTACCTTGGGAGAACTTAATTAGCTGTCAACAGCACAACACATGAGTGGTGACTTTTGAATGAAATTATGAAATCTCAGCTCCTGAGGCATTTTTCTCCTCCTTCCAAGGCAGAGGGAAACACAACAGATATGTTTAGGTAAAAGCTAAGTAATTTTTAGGAGAATGCTTTTGCCTTCACTGTTTTCTTGTATTAATTACAGAAGTGTATAACCCTTCAGTTCTGATTTGAATGTGAGCAACCAGCACAACCAGGTTATTAAATCAGGTTGCAAATCTGAGATCAGGGTCATGTGGTTCTCTGTTTGATAGGCTAATTTCTTAAGTGATTGAACTTCTATCATTCCACTGGATACCATGGTAATTTACTTATTTCGCAAATGTGATAAATAAACCACAGCCAGCAAATCACTCAAATGGTCCTAATTTAGAGCTGCTGGCTTCTGCTGACACATGATGGGAGCGTGGCAGGGCTCTCAGGGAAATGGATGTGCTGAGGAGCCAAGGAGAGCAAGGTGCTTTGGAGTTAAAATGTCAGGAGCCATCAGAACCCACCCAGCTGGCCCAGCAGCTGCCTCTCCTGGGGGGTTTGCTCTGTAAATAAAACATCCAGTAAATTAAAAAAATAAAAATCTGTACGTGAAAAAATCCAGGTTTGCCGTGCCTGCCTGGATCAGCAGAGCTCCAAGTGTAGCTTCATTTGTGGCAAAGCTTTTCTGGAGAGCTTTGAGTAGGGAAGAAGATGGATGGATGCAGATTACAGGCAATGGAGTTTCCCAGTAACTCTGTTAGAGCTCCAGCTTCAGAAGCCATTTGAATGTGATTAAATGTGGCATTTGAATGTACCTAAAGCTGGGATTTCAGCAGGGGCTGAGAACAGCAAGAGGGGGAACCCCAATGTTAGGATCTTAGGGAAAAATCTGCAGAAAGGTTTGAGCAAATCCTGAGCACCTGAGATGGTTTGTGTGAGAGTGACACTGAAAGTGACACCGGGAGTGCCAGGCTCCCGATTGCCTCGTTTGCAAAGTGAAGTGTCCACATACTTAAAAAATACAAATAAAATTGACGAGTGGATTTGCATTTCAAAGAGCTTCAGCGGGACAGGGATCTGCTGTTTGCTGGCAGTGCTGGCCATCACCTGGGGTTTGGAATATTTTCCTGCTCAGATGTGGATTAATCAATGTTTTCCTGCTCAGATGTGGATTAACCAATGTTTTCCTGTTCAGATGTGGATTAACCAATGTTTTCCTGTTCAGATGTGGATTAATCAATGTTTTCCTGTTCAGATAGGGGTTATTCTGGAAATGGTAGGGGCTGGTGAACCTCGATAAGGTCCCACCCTTCAGCTGGGGCTGAAGCCCCTCTTGTGCATTCCCTGAGCCTGCTTGGAATCAGAAAGATAAAAAAGGATGGTTCTGGCCAAGCATTTAATGTACAATATCAGGTTGTTTTTTTCAGTCCAGATCTCACCTTCAGCATCCCTGTCACAGGTCCCCACGGACCTTCAGATTGAGATTCCCTGCGCTTGGAGGAGACAGGGAGAGGAAGGACGAGGAGCTGCCCACGTTTTTGTGGCAACCTGCGACAAACAATTCCAAATCTGGCAGCTGCAACAAAATCGTTGGCTGTACCCTGCCGCCACTCTGGGGCTCAGGAATGTGTTTTTGTAGCAGATGGAGCTATTAGCTGGCTGTGCTATCTTGAAGAATTGCTTTCCCAGGTAATCAGCTGTGCTCATTTAGGCCGTGGTTTCCCCAGCTCGCAGTGTCAGCCGGGGAGCAGCAGAGATTAATCAGGGATGGCAGCCAGGAGCTGCCGGTGCCACACGGGAGCTGCAGGAGCTCGGGGCAGAGCGGGACAGATGCCCCTGACCCTTCCTGGGGGCCACCTGGGGGCTCCTGGGGCAACCTGGGCGGTCCCCGGGGAGCCCTGGAGCCGGGCAGGGTGGGCTGGGTGCACGGACAGACGGACAGACAGACAGACAGACAGTGCCCAGCCAGCCCTGCCGAAGGGCTCTGGAGGATTCGTTAAGGATCAGCTGTTGATCCACAGACTCTGCCTGAAGGGGCTGCGTTTGCTGGACCCAGCAGCAGGAACACTGTAAAAGCAGCACATCCTTATTCTTCCTGCTTTAGAGGCTGAAAATGAGATTTTGGGGTTTTTTTTCAATTACTGATATTCTTAAATTACCAGCAAAGAAGGTTAATCCTTTATTTTTATTTTTTTCTGGCAGATCTCGGGCTTAAGCCTGTTGGTGGCTGCCTCTCTTTTCATTCCACCCCTTCCAAAGCAATTTGGGATATTTTGCAAGACTCAGTGCTGTCTAAACATAAGATGCAAAATAGGGCAGTGTGGGATTTGGGACAGAAAGGGTATCAGCATTAGCTCTGAAGTGTGACCAAGGGACTTGTTGTGAGGAGCATGCAGGGTTTTCAGCCTCGTCCCTCCTTGCAGCAGCCTTTTAGCACTCACCTTCCCTGCTGGGCTGAGCACCGTGCTCCTTGGGCCTTTCCCTGTGGGGAGGGATTCCCCAGGGCTCGGATGTCCTTGGAAGGAGAAAGCTGAAGGGATTTGTGGTGTCCCAGAGCCGAGTGATCAGGAAATAGCTGTGGAGGGCTTTGCTGGCTGCTGGGGTGGCTTAGAGCCAGCTCAGGTGGGTGCAGGGCAGCAAAGGGAAGCTGTGGCACAGGGAGCTCCTGGCTTTGCAAAGCCTGGCTTTGCACCTCGGAATACCCCAGCAGCACTGCTGGTGACCAGGAGCTTTAATCCTTCATTTCAGACTGGGCTGTGCAGCCATTGCTGAACCTGCATCATAGAAACCACAGCAGCATTCAACCCGGCTTTATGGGGGACCAGTGCTCCTGCAGGAATTTGTGGTGGGAGCTGCTGGGTGCCTTTCCTGTGGCCAGAGCAGCACAGTGAGCTGTGCCCATCATTCCTGCTGCTTTGGGAAAGACTCCCTGTGGGAGCTCCCAGCTTCATCTGGAGCTGCCTGGGATGAGGTCCAGGGTGTGCTGGGCTGTCCCTGTCAGTGTTTTCTGTGTCCTGTCAGTGTTTTCTGTGTCCTGGGTGTGCTGGGCTGTCTCTGTCAGTGTTTTCTGTGTCCTGGGTGTG